CTTTGTTATTGCTTCATGGCATCCTAAGAGTACAGAGTGATAGCCTCTTCGTGAGGAAAGTCAACTGAAGGCAGGCTGCTGTGTAATGCCATGGATCTGATTTTCGGTGGACCACTCTGCATTAATCATGTCATTATACAGAGACCGTAAGGCATGAATGACATTGCATGTGTGAAAAAAAAATACGAGTTTTGTGATCTGGCTGAATGGAAAAGTGCTGTGTCCAGCATCACAATATCTTTTCTGACCTCAGCTGAATATTGCAATCTAAATCACCACACAGTTCGGGTCTTATTTACATATGGTAGCATCTGATACTGTTCATTTACTGTTTGGGTGTTAGTCTTGCCTCTCCCAGAACATATTGAATTATTTGTGTTGGGGGAGCAAATCATATCATTAGTATCCCTTAGTACATCTGCTATGGTCTGAATGTTTGTGTCTCCTCCCCTACAAATTTATATGTGGAAATTCTATCCCTCAAGGTGATAATATTAGGAGGTGGGGCCTTTTGGGAGGTTATTGGGTTGTGAGGGTAGAATCCTTGTGAATGGGATTAGCAATCTTGTACAATAGGCCCAAGGGAACTCATTCATCCCTTCCACCGTGTGAGGACGTGGTGAGAATGTGCTATCTATGAACCAGGAAGCAGACCATCAGCAGACACTGAATCTGCCAGTCCCTTGACCTTGGACATCCCAGCCTCCAGAACTGTGAGAAATTCCTGTTGTTATAAGCCAGCCCTTTTATAGTATTTTGTGATAGCAGCCTGAATGGACTAAAACAATGTCTAAGACATTTGGCTGATGTAATTGTTGACTAAAAGAACTTTTTTCAAGGATATGGTGCATAATTATATAAATGTCCTTTATTGCCAGCCATACTGACTGTACAACTTATGAAGTGTCATTCCGTGATGATTAAGAGCTTGGGTTCTGGAATCTGACTGTAATGTTTCTTCTACTTGCTATCTTTGGAATCTAAGACACATTCCTTAACCTCTTTGGGTCTTAGTTTCTTCATCTGTAAATAAGAATAATAGTGGTTACTACCCATAGTGTTGTTACGAGTTTTAGATGAGTTACTATTAGTAAAGCAGAGAACAGTGTCTGGCTCATAAGAAGGGCTTGCTATTGCTATTTTAAGAAATAGTTAAGCCTGTAGGGTCTTGACATCCAGGTTGGCTATAGTTTGTGGGTTCAGGAAACCTGAAGATTCTATTCACAGCTGGACTAGGACCTCTGTGAAGAGTTTTGAATTATGACTCTAGAGCTGGCTCTGGAAAGTTCCCAGTTGGTCAGATGAGTACACGTGAGAAATGGAATTGAGTATGATTATAGCCATTTGTGAGAATTTTGGCCTGAGGCTAAGATGAGTTAAATTGATTGACTCAGAAGTCATGGCAGTAGGCCAGCCCTATGTACCAGAAGTTCTGTTATTTCAGCAAGAAATGGTTAAGGAAAATTCAATCAGAGGATCCTAAGGCTCAGTGAAATTCTGAATTCAAAATCTCTTTCAGCAAAGTCACTTACTATTGTAGTAGGTTCCAGTTAGTTGAAGTGTAGTCAACCCCAGCTTTGGTTAAATCATCATGTGGTTCTGAAACCACATGGAGCAAATGGTAATGGAGAATGTGGTCACTCATCTCCAAAGATGGCACACAGGGAAGCCTCCTTTCCAGCACTCATACTTGTTTGATCTTCTCCCCATGAATCTAGGATGGTCCTCCCAACTTGCTTTTGCCCCCACACAGTGCTGGGGATGCAGTGCTATATGGCTTCTGAGGCTAGGCCATAAGAAGGCTCACAGATTTTGCCTTTCTTCCTGGAAGGCTCTGGGGGAGGCTAGTCATGAGGCAACAAGTCCAACTCTCTGGAACAGCCATGCTGTGAGGCAGTGGTGTACCAAGGCTGGGGGCAGTGGGAATGGTCCACTTAAAAGTACAGAGATTAAAGGGATGCATTGTCTATAAAGAATTTTAAAAGTATGCTAAAACCAACTAAAAGTTGGTCTTCCTTTTATTATCAGCATGCACAAGCAATTCTTAACAAGGCTCAGTGATAACGTATCCCTTCCCATGAGTGGATCAGTCCCATAGCCTCTTCCACCCACCCTGCCTCCTGCAAGCCAGTGCTGTGAAGCCCAAGCTAGCCCTGTGGCAAGGGAGATGTCTGCCCAGTCTCCAGCTGCTCCAGCCATCCCAGCCTAGGCACCAGTCACTTGAGGGAAGAAGCCATCTTGGATGTCCAGCCTAGTCTGGCTTTGAGAAGACTCTAGCTCCTGCTGCCATCTTACTGCAGTTGCATGAAGGATCAAATGTCATAGCCATCCACCCGAGCCTTGGCAAACTACAGACTGTATGAGGAGTTTTTTTAGGGCACTATGTTTTGGGGGTAGTTTGTTATGCAGCAATTAATAAACAGAAGAGAGAAGAGGCATGCAAGAAGAAGAGAGCCTCTTCTATCTCTTAAAATAGCAACAAGTATCCTTGGCTGTGTGGGGTCTCTAGATATCAGCTTATCTTGATGTTGATAGAGGCCAAAAATACTTGATTTCACTACCGGATGGAAATTATATCTGTGTAGATGTTGCTAAGCAACAAGAGATCAGAAACCTATAAGGAGTGACCATATAATGCAAAGCATTGGGTCAGCCAACTAAGTTCCTCCTGCACTTATTTTTTAGAACCTGCTTATGAAAGAAGCAATGTCCACAATGCGTGGGGGGAGGAAAGTCTCCTGGGACCTTAAAGGAAAGTGTACACTTCATCATAATTTGCCTGCAATGATCAGCAAACTAAAAAGCCAACACATAACCTGAAAAATGGTCACTGTTTGTGATTTAAAAGAAGAGTAAGCTTGAGCAATAAATACTAACAGCACTGGGAACTCTGTCTCATCCTCACATCCTTTGAAAAGGCATTTGTAAGTGTGAAAATCCTTTCCCCTTGAAATACCGCAAAGCTGTAAATATTTATGAAAACATCCAAATCAGTAGGCAGTAATGTCTTTCTGAGCTTTACAAGGGTATTATTAGGTGGTCAGTGAACTTGAGGGTTTTTTTGGAAGTCAGTGGGATCTAAAAACTTTTCCTTTGACTGGTCAGAGAAGCAGGCTGAGAAAGGGGGAATCTTACTGAGGGTTTTGTGAATAGCCTAGTAGCAGGTGCACGTGAAAACACTAGTGGTCAGAATAAAGTCTACACCCCTCAACTGTTCCTCACCAGCAATCATTTTCATTATTTCTGCTCAGTGACCTTTTGTTCCCTCCATTTTTCTCTGATAATTAGATTTCTTAAATTACAAAAGGTAGGGGGAGAAATGGTAAGCTCAATAGAAGACAAACAGGAATTGAATGTATGTATGCATTTATTTTTAATATGTTTTAGCAAAACCTATATGTACCCACCCCCCCCAACACATATATACATCACTGGGCTTTAGAGTCCTTGCTGAGACGTGGGTTTGAGGGAGATAACCACGCGTGGTGAGTTGCAGAGCCTGCCCTCCGCCTGCCAGCGTTGCTGTGGGGAGCGCATTCTCTGTCGAGCACTGCTCTAGCAGACCCACCAAATCCCATGTAAGTGGTCAGAGCACAAATGAGGCTGTCGGTGGGTAGTCCTACCCTATTCATAAGCTCTTTCAGAACAATTTTCATTACTTTTTTTAAATACTGTTTTTGGCAAACACTTGATACTTGAAATAAAAAATGCATGAGTCACCTACTGGGATAGGCACAGTGTGTGGTTCATTGAATTTAGCTAAATTGTGAGTCATCCATCAATAGTCCTCTTGGTGAACATACTTGTAATAATTTCACACATTACAAACAAAAATAGGTATGATTTTCAAGATTCTTGAAGCTGTTTCCCTTGGGGATTCTTTGGATTGTGTTTAGAGTTTTTTGTGTTGCTAGGTGGTGAGAAACTTGTCAGCCTTGTTTTCAGATGGATCCAAGGCTTGTGTCTCTGTCACGTGGTAAAAGAACTTTGGTTTGGGAGGCTCAGGGGCAGAGTACGAAGCTGAGCATCGTGAAGTGGGGGAAACAGGAATTAGTGATTAATATTTGTCCTTGTCAGATCATTGACTTTTAAGATTGATTTTGGCGTCTGAAAAATGTTTGGCTCCACTCTCAGAACACAGTCAGAGCAGCAAGAATATGCACCTGTGCCCCCCACCCCCTTTTTTTCTGATAGGAGAGAGCTGAGCAGGGTGGTTATGTGTCTGTGCACTACTGCCCTCTGTTGGATGGCACTAGAGTTTCTCTGTACCCACACCCCGGCTGAATGAGCGCTTCTGGTTGACTGGCAGGTGACCCAGGCAAATATGTCAGTATTAGACTAAGACCAATGAAAAAACAATAGTTGGCCTGTATAAGGTAAGAGAGACTTCTCTCTGGTAGAGAAATAAGAGTGTAGACTTTCTGACCTGTTGGGTTCTTGTGTCTATTCTGGTGGCTGCCAGGGAAGAGGTTGGCATCTGCTGCTGAATGACAGGACAGACTTTGTGATTAAACTGCTAGATCTTTGGCTTTTCAGGAAGTGAAAATAATCACAAGATAAAGTATCCTCACTTGTATTTTTCCCCTTTCATAAGTGCAATAGGGCATAAAAGGGCTTTGGCTTTTGGCTACAACCAGAGGTGAAAGTTTTTATATGGGTATAAAAAGAGAAGTTAAAGCTCTTTGCAAACTATGGCTAAAGTGCCCATGTCAGTAAGATGTATACAGTGACCGAGGACACTGGCTGGGAAGTTTTCTTCGTTTTGGCAGATTCCTCTGCCCTCCTTCACCTTCTCCAAGGTAGTGAGAGTAAGTGTCCAGGCAGGAGCTTCGGGGATCCTGTCCTGCCACTATTGGCTGAGTAACTTGGGAAAGTTGTCTGACTCTTGGACCACATTTTTTTCTCACGTGTAAAATGAGGCATTTGAAATAGATGCTATCTCAGAGTCGTGTCATTTCTGAGATGCAATAAATTATCTTTTGTTCCTAGATGATAATGTAAGCACAAAGAACAACACTATTTAAAGATCACACACATACCCTCTCAAACACATCATCTGCCTTTGGGAAAGCAACGTGTTCACTGTGATAATTCAGCACCAGGACCTGAGGTGGTGGGAACAGCTTTGGCTGGTTTGCTGCTCTCCAAGGAGCTCCTGTGCCGGCCTCATTGGACAAGCATCCCTGCCTGCCCTGCGGCGCAGAGTCTCCAGGACCAGCAGATGGCGCACTTGCACAGTCCACACATTTTCCAGGTTCTCAAGGTAAATGGTACTGATTAACATCCAGAAATAACACCCACTGATGTTTGAACAAATTGCAGCGTTTTCCAGGCCACTAAAACCATGGCACTTTGTGAGCTGGAACATTTGCTAATATTTAAAATGGTTAGAAAGATTGTTAATCTATAATACTTTCGAGTGTTAACAGCCTCTTTCACCCACGCATCAAAAAGCCCTTAATACATTGGCCTTCTTTTTTCAGGTAGGGAAATCAGGGCAGAGGGTCAATTGGCTAAGATCACAGCAGAACTAGTCCAGATAATTCAGACCATCCACCTTGGTGATCTTTTAGAATTGTCTTTCCTCTTGCCCTTCCTTTCTTTAATGCCCACTTCTCTTGGTTGTGGAGAGGAATGTGCGTGTTGACTGGGGATGTGGAAGAGGAATTGACATCTTCCGCACTTTGGGGCATTGCCACCTGCCATGGTCATCATAACTCCTGATCGCCACAACCTATATTCGGAATATCTGTGATCATAAGAACTGGCATTTACTGATTACTTACTTTGAGCCAGGCATTGTTCGAAGCACTTCTCACACATTAATCATTTAATTTTTCCAGCAGCCCATAAAGGAGGCAGAGAGAGTAAGTAAATTACCTAGAATAACAGATCTTTGCATTTCTCTAGGCTCTAAAAGCAACAATGACTTCCATCTAGTTTTTAGTGGTAATCACTCTTTCACCCCAGATATTTCCAGCTAATAGATCATTGACTGATTTTTACTTTAATATTTAAATTGAGAAATTTATTGGAGCTTTGGTGATATCATGTAAGTAAGCCTTGGTTATAGTAGCTTGTAATGCTATTATTAGTGTAGAAGATTTCCTTTCACAACCTTGTGCTTAGAAGGAGTGATTCACTAGAAATGGAAATAAGATGTAAATGAAATGGGAAGCTTGGCAATTTAATCACTCAAGTAATATATATATTTTCAAAGTGCTCACTTAATCCATTAGTCACAAAACAGCATTAGAGATATGTTGGGTGGTTTCACTCCAACAACGTTTATTTGTTTCAAAAACATACATAGTGCTTACTGCATACCAGGCACAAATGTTAGTTCACTTAATTCTCCTCACAACTATGACGAGCCCCTTTTACAGATGAGGAAATCAAGGTAAGAGAGGTAAGAAACGTAGCTAGTAAGTGGCAGATCATGATTTACACCAGCCCCTAGCTTCGGATCCATGCTCATAACTACTAGGTTGTGCTACCCCTATCAGTAGCAAGCAGGTATGCTGGCAGGATATAGAGTAATTTAACCAGGGTCAAAGACAGAAACAAACAGTTATAGTGTTGATTTCCTCCTAACAACAATCCTTATATAGCAAATAATTTCTTTCTTTCTCTTTTTTTTTTTTTTTTTTTGGAGACAGAGTCTCACTCCATCAGCCAGGCTAGAGTGCAGTGGTGCAATCTGGGCCCACTGCAACCTCCACCTCCTGGGTTCAAGCGATTCTCCTGCCTCAGCCTCCTGAGTAGCTGGGACCACAGGTGCATGCTGCCATGCCTGGCTAATTTTTGTATTTTTAGTAGAGATGGGGTTTCGCTATGTTGGCCAGGCTGGTCTCAAACTCCTGGCCACAAGTGATCCACCTGCCTTGGCCTCCCAAAGTGCTGGGATTATAGGTGTGAGCCACTGTGCCTGGGCATTATATAGCAAATAATTTCTAAAATAAAAAGTGAGACTAAAAATAGCTAAGTTAGCTGCTAGCCTTGATAAAGGAGAATAGGAATTTTAAAGAACAAGAAACTATAGGGAGACCTACAGATGTTTTGTATGTTTTTGAGACAGAGTCTCACTCTGTCTCCCAGGCTGGAGTGCAGTGGCATGATCTCAGCTCACTGCAACTCTGCCTTCCGGGTTGAAGTGATTCTCATGTCTCAGCCTCCTGAGTAACTGGGACTATAGGCGTGCATCACCATGCCCAGCTAATTTTTGTATTTTAAGTAGAGATTTTTGTATTTTAAGTCATGTTGGCCAGGCTGGTCTCAAACTCCTGGCCTAAAGTTATCTGCCTGCTTCAGCCTTCCAAAGTGCTGGGATTACAGGGGTGAGCCACTGCACCTGGCCTGTTTTTTAAAATGAGTATTGATGTTTGTGATACTTAGAATAATAATTAGTTCATCATTTTTACTGAAGACTAAGCAAAAGGAAATTGCGTGGCATCACAGTTGTGTGTGAGTGAACATCTGTTTTTTTCCTCCTTCCCTTTTCTGTAATGATGTCATCCTTCACGGCACCTTTCCCAGGAGAAAAACCTTCTCCATTTATAAAGTGCATGGGAGTCAGCTGGGGATCTCATTGAACTCTGGATTCTGATTTGGTGGGTCTGCGATGCAGCTCCAGATTCTGCATTTCTCACCAGCTACTAATGCTGCTGATGTGAGGCCTGCTGGGAGTGGCAGGACTCCTTCCCTTCCTCATCCTGCTTGGGTGTGGGGTTGCCAAAGACAGTACCTTCCATATCACATTCCTTCTACCTTCTGCATAGGAGTGGTTGTCATGTGATCCAGATTTGACTAGATATGATTCCTATCTGGAATTTGGTTCTCCTGCTCCCAACTCATACACCTGGGAGAAGCCTGGCTTCAGGAGGAGGCAAGGAAGTCAATTCATTGAGAGCTGCAGAAAGAGGAAAGGAGAAGGGGGAGAGAGAACAAGGATGACTAGATGATGTACTTTGAATTCTGGAGGCCAGCTCTATCCAGGAACACAAGCCAATAAAGTCCCTTTATGCTCAAGCTAATTTGTATCATTTCTGCTACTTGCAATTAAAAGGGTTCTGCCTAATACAGAAGTAATTTAGGTTTGATATAAAGGAGAATTCTTTACTGTAGCAGGAGGGTGCTTTGCAACTGTTGCTAAAGACCATTGGGAACAGAACAGATACTGAGGTTATTTTGGGGAGACTTGCAAGAATAATATTAAAATATTTAATAATTAGCATGGCATGGATGCTGACCAGTCAAAACAGACACCAGCCACAGTGACATTCTGGGAACGCCAGCCTTGGTCACCTGGATGCCATTTGTAGTAGGTACAAGATCTGCAGTATTTTTGTGTTGCGAATGATATGCCTGAATTCTTTAGTCATATTTTGCTAAAGAGGCTTTCATTAATGCTTTACAAGATATAATGTTCTCTTACTTTCTTTTTAAATAAATTATAAACTTCCATTTTGCCCCAATATTTTTACACAGGGTTAATTTATTGTCATGTCAGGTGATCATCTTCATGGTTTTTTAGAATAATCTTCAGAATGTTCTCCTATAAAATTAATTTAAATATCCCTAGCCTTTACTTAAATAGAACGATCTTATATTATTCTAAATGCATTAAGTAGATAACTGATTAATATTACAAAAATGGATACCTGTAATCTTTAGGAATTCTAGAATATTAGATGAAGTCGAGAGTGATATTACAATTTGATTTAAACACACTAAAAATATACCAGAAGAAGCCAGAGTCAGTTTCCAGGAGTTACAACTATGGTGGATTCTATCTTTAAAATATGCTGTTATGAAGAGAAGTGGGCTAAAAGGCACAAACATACAGTAAGATAGAAGGAATAAATTCAATGTTTGATAGCAGAGTAGGATGATTATGCTTAACAAACATGTATTGTACGCAGGTGACGGACACCCTAAATACCCTGAGTCACTCAGTACCCATTATGTGTAACAAAATGTCTGATGTACCCCACAAATTTGTGCAAATAAAAAAAAACATACTCTATTAATCTCACCAGGAGTAAAATAACTTTTTGTGGGTTGTGGATTGGTGGACAAGGGGAATAATGGTGATAGAAAAATCCTGGAGACGCTTAGGCCCAGCCACTCTTTTAATGCTTTCTCTGCTTACTTAAAGGTGGGAGCATTGCATTAGAAACCCAGAGATCTGGCTTTTAGTGTGACACCTCCCTGAATTCCACTCTGCACCCCCACCTCACCTTCTCAGTTCCCCCTTCCCCCACCTGCCCTCAAGCCTCAGTCTTTTGTTGTAGAACAGCAACAACAGAGGGAAGAAGCTCTTTCTAGGAATAAGATGCTATATGTTATTCTTAAAGGGAATATGCAAGCTCATGACCAGAGGTTAAGATTCTCCAGGAAAGAGTCAAAAGGCCTTGATACAAGAAAGCAGGATTCCAGAGCAGCCTGGCATTGTTACAGTCTGAAGTATGGGGTGGTTCCAAAATTGGGGACTGTGGAAATATATTACAGGGATCTGTGGCTCTAGAACACACAGCAGACACTGTGAATGCACTGAATAAATATCTCCCATGTATTGCGCTACTGTTTTCTAATCTATGGAAGTGCCGTTTAAATGATCAAATTACAGTTATTAAAAGTGGAAATGAATTCATAGTAGCTTTCTCTTATATTTTTCCTTAAAGACCTAAGATCTAAAATATGAAATGCTAAGTCTAGATCATATGGCAGTCTCCTCCTTTAAAAGTTTAAGCATGTTAAAAAAAATAAGTCCATGAAATTTTATAGGTAACTTGGATTTTAAAAAAAATGAAAACTGAAATTCTTTCAGCAGTGAATGTGTGTGTTTTTTTAATTCCCTGGATTGATCAGAGGGTGCTCTCTCTCTATCCTTAGGACTGTGAAGAATTACCTAGAGGCAAGACAAGAGCTCATTAATTAAATATTTCCGCGCTGGACACTCATCTGCCTGACAGTTCTCTCATTATGTGCCCCTGAGAGGGGGACTAGTTGTCAGCAGCTGATGTAAAATAATTTTCTCACTGTTATAACTGCATGAGCAAAGCCTTGATAGCAGTTCTTCATGTCTATTAGGTAAATCATTTGAGGGAAAAATGGTTTTGCACTGAAGGGAAAGTCAAAACATTTCATGCAAAATCTTAAATAACTTGTTTTTTAAAATAAGAAAAAAATGAACTTTCTCTAACTATAAGTATCTTTTGTTTGTGCCCCAGGGATCCCTCTACCTTTGCTATCTCTTTCCTC